AGAACGTCTCTTGTCTCTTACAAGATTCTGTTCCCTTTCATCTGGTGTTACGGTCGGCATACACCCTGCATCGCTTTGCAGAGTTGCCTGCCGGTCTCGACGCTCAGGGCGCAATCACATCGACTCCGCATTGGTTTTGATTGGGCAACAAGGTGATTGTCCAGGAATCGAAAAGAGCAGTCAGAAAAAATGCCTCAAGATGTCTTGCAGTGTCAATGGTGAACCCTGATCCATCTTTCGCATGCTCGGCACTCTATCCCCAACCTGTGCACACCTAAAAATATCAGTGCGTGTAGTAAGGTTCAGGGATGTTCAACTGAAGTTTAACATTTCCTTCAGGATTGAGGGCATTTGCACACGATGTCCTCCGCAGCCCTGCCAGGCGACGGCACGGCAGCACTTCCGAAAGCTTGTGATGCCAGAACGCTGCCGACTTCCGCTATTTCCTCAGATTGACTGCTACTTGCGGCTGGCTTTGCTGCTTGTTCCCTCAACCACTTCTAGACAAATTCAACTCCAGCAAGTCTGCAATGCGGCCAGCTCACACTACAAGAAAGTCAAAGGATTCATGGACCCTTTGCTCATGTGCTTCTTGTGCTTCCTGGGGTTACCAATATCCATATTTCATAGCTGGGGAACACTTGCCATGCACAACAAGAAATGGTGTTTCGCAGTGTATCCATGCATTCAGGCGTCATCATCTGTTGCAGCTGGAGTCGGAGAGCCAGCACAGCCAGCTTTATCACCCTGCTGCGGCGCTTCCGGTGCCTGCTTTGAGTCCTTCCAAGGCAAATCGTTTCTAACGTGAAAACATCTGAGCTTGATAAGTGGGCGCAGTCCTCTACCCTGCTTGCGGCCGCCACTCCAGGACTTGCTTTTGCAAAGGCCTGCGATGCCAGGGCCCGGCCAACCGCGGCCATGTCCTGAGACATAGGGGAAGATGTTCTGAATCCCAGCCATATGAAGCTCCATGCTTCTCAACCCCACCAAGATTTGCTACAGGTACAGGACATGCTTGGGTGCATTTGTCTGACTCTGCATTGCGGGCAGTCGTCTTCATGTTAAGAACGTCTCTTGTCTCTTACAAGATTCTGTTCCCTTTCATCTGCTGTTACGGTCGGCATACACCCTGCATCACTTTGTAGAGTTGCCTGCCGGTCTCGCCGCTCAGGGCGCAATCACATCGACTCCGCATTGCTTTTGATTGAGTAGCAAGGTGATTGTCCAGGAAAGCAGTCAGAAAAAATGCCTCAAGATGTCTCGCAGTGTCAGTGGTGAACCCTGATCCATCTTTCACATGCTCGGCACTCTATCCCCAACCTGTGCACACCTACAAATATCAGTGCGTGTAGTAAGGTTCAGGGATGGTCAACTGAAGTTTAACATTTCCTTCAGGATTGAGGGCATTTGCACACGACGTCCTCCGCAGCCCTGCCAGGCGACGGCACGGCAGCACTTCCGAAAGCTTGTGATGCCAGAACGCTGCCGACTTCCGCTATTTCCTCAGATTGTCAACTCCGGCAAGTCTGCAATGCGGCCAGCTCACACTACAAGAAAGTCAAAGGATTCATGGACCCTTTGCTCATGTGCTTCTTGTGCTTCCTGGGGTTACCAATATCCATGTTTCATAGCTGGGGAACACTTGCCATGCACAACATGAGATGGTGTTTCGCAGTGTATCCATGCATTCAGGCGTCGTCATCTGTTGCAGCTGGAGTCGGAGAGCCAGCGTAGCCAGCTTTATCACCCTGCTGTGGCGCTTCCGGTGCCTGCTTCGAGTCCTTCCAAAGCGAATCGTTTCTCACGTAAAACATCTGAGCTGGATAAGTGGGCGCAGTCCTCTACCCTGCTTGCGGCCGCCACCCCAGGACTTGCTTTTGCAAAGGCCTGCGATGCCAGGGCCCGGCCAACCGCGGCCATGTCCTGAGACATAGGGGAAGATGTTCTGAATCCCAGCCATATGAAGCTCCATGCTTCTCAACCCCACTAAGATTTGCTACAGGTACAGGACATGCTTGGGTGCATTTGTCTGACTTTGCATTGCGGGCAGTCGTCTTCATGTTAAGAACGTCTCTTGTCTCTTACAAGAGGAGTTGCCTGCCGGTCTCGCCGCTCAGGGCGCAATCACATCGACTCCGCATTGCTTTTGATTGAGTAGCAAGGTGATTGTCCAGGAATCGAAAAGAGCAGTCAGAAAAAATGCCTCAAGATGTCTTGCAGTGTCAATGGTGAACCCTGATCCATCTTTCGCATGCTCGGCGCTCCATCCCGAATCTGTGCACACCTACAAATACCAGTGCGTGTAGTAAGGTTCAGGGATGTTCAACTGAAGTTTAACATTTCCTTCAGGATTGAGGGCATTTGCACACGACGTCCTCCGCAGCCCTGCCAGGCGACGGCACGGCAGCACTTCCGAAAGCTTGTGATGCCAGAACGCTGCCGACTTCCGCTATTTCCTCAGATTGACTGCTACTTGCGGCTGGCTTTGCTGCTTGTTCGCTCAACCACTTCTAGACAAATTCAACTCCAGCAAGTCTGCAATGCGGCCAGCTCACACTACAAGAAAGTCAAAGGATTCATGGAACCTTTGCTCATGTGCTTCTTGTGCTTCCTGGGGTTACCAATATCCATATTTCATAGCTGGGGAACACTTGCCATGCACAACATGAGATGGTGTTTCGCAGTGTATCCATGCATTCAGGCGTCATCATCTGTTGCAGCTGGAGTCGGAGAGCCAGCAAAGCCAGCTTTATCACCCTGCTGCGGCGCTTCCGGTGCCTGCTTTGAGTCCTTCCAAAGCGAATCGTTTCTAACGTGAAAACATCTGAGCTGGATAAGTGGGCGCGGTCCTCTACCCTGCTTGAGGCCGCCACCCCAGGACTTGCTGTTGCAAAGGCCTGCGATGCAAGGGCCCGGCCAACCGCGGCCATGTCCTGAGAAATGAGATGCTTAGACTTAAACCTTAAACCAGCATAAACCAGCGACATATCGATCGGGCAGCAGCAGCAGCTTGGACCAGCTTGAGCCAAGCAGCACTTTGTAGTGAAGATGCATGAGACTCCAGCGCCCGTGCTACTGTTTCGGCCTGAGCCATTGGCTCTGTCATGCACATCCCGTTGAATCACATCCAATTAGTGCGTGACGACAGTTGGACGTCATGCATGTTGCTTTTGACACCACCTTGTCCCGTTTGAATTGCTCAACATCTGCCACCCCAACCAATCTGGCCAGGCGGCAGCTTCTTGCTCCAGGCTTTGGCTGATGGCATGATCGGCGGAAGCTCGTGCCGCAGCCATGTCCTTACTGGTGCTCAAGGGAGAGTGGGAGTGGATTCCTTTCATAATTCCTATATGATCCCCATATATACTCCAATAGTGGTACTATATTCACCCCCCCACTCCCCCTTATGCACCAGTAGGAGTCGCAAGTACTAAAGCCAGGAGTTGAGGCTTCTGCACCAAAACCTGCCAGATGATTCCGGGTTTGATGCTAATGATAGCAGTACTCAACATGAGCCCCAGTCTAAACTCCTGGTATCCCCCCTAATAACCCCCCAAAATAGTCTCTTGTATAATCCCCTATAAACCCCCCTTTAAGGAGTTTAGACTACAGCTCACATGGCACAAATACGTATCTCTTGGATGTCAGAAGTGTAAGGACAGAAACCACAAGATTCACACGCTGATGATTTGGTAGTTTCCCTAAATAAGGGGACCCAATATAGACCCCAAAATACTATAATCCTCATTATAGGGACCCCCAAAAAGGTACCCCTAATTTGGGGAAACCCCCATTTTTTGGATCCTACCATGAGCCTCGGTTCGTAATCCAGCTGTGCGAGCTGGCACTGGAAAAGAAAATGGAAGCTACCATAGGGGTACTATTGGGGTTATATTGTGGTTATATGGGGATAATGGAAAAGAAAATGGAAACTACTATAGGGATTATGTCATGATGTTACGATTGGTCAAACAATATTTACTCGACAAGCCGGCATCAATGACAGGTGCAACTGTGTCGTCTAATATGTCCTGCACTGCTTTTCTCAAGATCACAAACTACAGTGCACGTGGCTGGTCACACGCCTTTGCTTACTACTGGGCACCCTGAAGATAATGCGGGCGCAGCATCCAAATAGCACACTTTGGCCTATGGATGGTGCAAGGAAAGTAGGACGGTCCAGTGCACCATCTACTTCACTTGGATTTTATCGTCTGGTAATGGGGCCGCTGTAGAATCTCAGCTCAACGCATTTAAGCTCGGGGTAGCTGACGGTGCACGACCTGGCCAATGACTGCCAATCTCATGTGCTACCCACAAAAGACGCTGTTGCCCCAGCCTGGGGGTCGTCGGTCTGCTCGATAAAAGCGCTGCTCAAAGTCATCATCTGACCCCAATGATGGAAGCGAACCTGCAACATCAAGCACCAACCAACTCTGGCAGCTGAAGGAGGAAATACCTTCTGGGCATCTTGAGACGTTGGGGCGCTTGCTGTGACAAGACCATCTATAAACGACTATGAACGCATGGAACATGCAGTCCCGCGTCAAAAATGGCCAAGAGGTCGATAAAACTGCCAAAAATAGGCGTAGGTCAGGACGGCACAAAATCACTCCCAAGCAAAACCCAAGCCAAGTTTTGCACCTGCACCATTGTATGAATTGCATGGCCATGTCGGCCCCCTGTGCAGGTTTGCATTTAACAGCTTTGCCGGCGCATATGTTGAGTACGTGGCCAAACTCAGGGATCCTTGCAAGTGCAACCCAAGTTTGAATCCACGCTGCAATGTAACCTTGAACAGCGTCATGTGTTTGCTGGCAGTTGATGAAGATATGGCCCAAATAGCAAAAATGACGACGAAACATGAAGCCAACTATGAGACAATTTTGTCACGAACAAACAACAAATGCATATATCGCCGGGGAACTCATTCAAAGAAACTGCACCCCATCCATCACTTTGCAACGCAGCTTTCTGAGAACCGATCCTGAGCTCGTATTGAAGCAAATCATGCAATGGCCTCCGTACCGGAGAGATCCGGAAAGAATCCCCAAGAACATTCCCGGCATTTTCAAAATCATGGCCTTCTAGAGCAGGAATCCAATTTGCGGACGGAGTATGTTGGCCACCTTCTCAAGCAGGATCATCATTATCTCGCCATCAACGGGCCTAGTCCAAAAATCAAAGAGCACTCCGGCCTGCCAACTGTTCTGAATGTGCTTCCACATCGCGGATAACCATCTCATGAACATGTCAACGCTGCTTTACTGAATACTATATCCAATGGTCTTGGCTTGCTGGGCAAGAAAACGGGGACTGTACCGAAGGCCGCCAACAATCTCACCCCGTCGAGATAAACAACGCATGGTCATGCGATGCAACCATTTTAGTCACTGCTACAGAATACCACCTAGCTCAACTTCTTGATCATGGCATCCGAGCGTGAGCATCCTTCTTAATGTTGTGAAGCAGAATGCTTCCCGGTCACCGAATACGCTCCTTGCGCAACCACAAAAACACGGGAGGCTTCAACGAAGTGTTGCACAATCATGGAACTGATAAACATCTTCTTGTACTAGGCAGCTGTTCTTTGCAAAGGTGAAAGTCAGGAATGCGTCTTCCATCTTACAGGCGCATGACTGCTTCATGGCTTGTCAATAACAGAACAAGGATTGCACCTTTCAGCATTTGTCTGGCTATCAGGCGGATGAAGTTTGCCGACAGTTCAAGCATTTCAGGCAGGGGCCCCACCACGCGCAGACCTCTGAGTCTCTGAAATGTCAAACCAGACAGTCAAAAAAGCTCTCCGAAACCCAAGGACCCATAGGTGGTAAACTATGTCATTCCCCTAACAGTAACGGATCCTACAATAGATTATAGGGATTCCAAGAGCCACTTAATGAAACCCCTTCGAAGACAGGTCCTGTAAGGAGGAATGACTTAAGTGGTAAAGAAGAACTCACAAAAAGCTCACACAATGATCTTCAGCCATTTTCTGTGCTCACCGGCATGAGTCAGGGACGACAACTTCACGTTGCACCGGCCGGGGGAAAGTGTGTCAGGTCAAGAAACCAATGGCAAGTCGAGAAACCAATTCTACCCTCCCCAAACTAACATGAGCTATAGTCTCAACTCCTAGTATCCCCCTTAATAACCCCTATAGTACTCCCCTAAATCATCCCCTACATAACCCCCCTTTAAGGAGTTTAGACTTTACCATAGCTCACATGGAAGCCCTTAGCAGCGCCATTTGTTAAGGACAGTAGTCTACAAAGGGCCCTTTGCAGGCTCCATGTTAGTATGGGGTAGGGTACTTCCCGCCAATGCTTCCAGCGGAGTGAGACCATCAAAATGTGTGGTAGTTTCCCAAAATAAGGGGACCCCTATATAGACCCCAGTATATTATAATCATTATTTTGGGAACCTTCAAAAAATACCCCCTAATTTTGGGAAACCCTAAACCCTCAACCCTAACCCCTAGCCCTAAACCGTATAGGCCACTCCACTGTCACCTTTGCGGGTGGCAGATGCGGAAGATGCCAGTCTCCGTCCCGCAAGGCTGTAAACACGTGAAGTATACTGGATTGATGTATATAGTCCCCCTTAAGTAGATCCCAAAGGGTTTTGGGGTTTAGGGGTTTAGGGTCCCCCTTAAGTAGATAGAATATGGAGTATATGGGGATCTTATGATAATATACCCGAAGCCATATTCTATCTACTTAAGGGGGACTATCAGCACCTCCTGCTGCAGCATTGTAGACTGGACTCTTGTAGTTCTGCATTTTGCAAATTCAGGTCATTGTGCAAGGAGCCCAGCTGCCCCCGAGATCGATATTTGCATACAACCAATCGTGCCGAAATGTGGAGGGGAACTTCCAAAGCAAGGAGAGCTGCGTTTCAGATCATTTGGGGTCTAGCCGCTCGTGAGCGTAAGAGCCTTGATCGGGCTGCGCGCAATATGGGGCCGGATCGTTGGCAGCGTGATTTGCCAGCGGATGGAGATGTGGAGCGCCATCCAGGACCGCTATGGCTGGCGACTTTGAACGCCAATTCTGCTGACTACAGCTTTACTGCGCTGCACCACACCTCTGCTGAGGGGTACGACGTACTAGCACTGCAGGAGGATCGCCGATTTTTGTTCACCAGATTTCACCAGGTCTACATCCCGAAATGGGGTTATATAGGGATTATCGGGTGTATCATGGGCTTAGATGGGTATAGGGTACATAACCCTTCGCCTGATTTCATCACAGGATTTCAAAGTTCATTTGCCACAAAAAAAGACTTGACAAGGCTCATCCTCAGCCTAGTCCTCAAACCTCAGAATTCGTGAGCAGCTCCCGACTGAGCCTGCTCAAAAACCGGCATAGGTCGGGGTCTCGGGCTCCTAAATGACAACAGAATGAAGGCTATGATCAGCTTTTCCCACAAAAACAGCTCTTCCTATCATGGAAGAGAAGTCAAAGGCTCATGGCTGTGGAGGATCGGATTAGGTTTAGGGCGTAGGGGTTTAGGGCGTAGGGTTTACGGTTTAGGGTTCAGTAATGGCAGAGCCAGAGAACGCAGAAATGAGTGAGCGCGCTGGGGTGACACTGGGACATATAAGGATCCTTATTCCGAGGAGGGGGGGCAAGGGTGTGAAGGCAGATGCCACATGAAAGGTTGCCGAAGTTATGAGCTCTTGGTTTAGGGTTTATGGTTTATGGTTTAGGGTTTAGGTGAGTTTCCGTTCGAACACAGCCCCTAATATCCAGGGGAAGCCATAAAGGAACATGTAATTGTTGTTCTTTTCCATTTAGTTCTCCATTATTGGGCCATTTCCCTATATCTCAATATCATCTACCTATATATATATATATGTATATGTATATCCCTATCCAATTCCTATATCTCCCAACATACTCCCAACATATCTCTATGGAAGCCGTGTTTT